TAAATGTAATAATCTCATCACTATACCATAATTTTTCATATCTCTGTTTGTATATAAAGTATGTTGACACCCAATTCTTGTCTTCACACATGTACTTTGGATAATGATTGTGGTATATATGTGTAATAAGAATTGTAATGCATTCTGCTGTCATTGTTTTAATTAATAAAAATGTTGAAAACATATCCATATATACACAAGGAAAAAATCACATCAATAGACTTAAAGATAAAAATCACATGATTATCTCATAGATGCAGATGAAGCATTTGTCAAAATATAGCATCAACTTATAATTAAGCACTAGGAAAAATAGAGATAAAAAGATCATACCTCAAATCGTTAAAGCTATATATGAAAAACCAAGGCTGACATAATTCTAAATGGAGAAAAACTAAAAGCATTCCTTTTAAAAAAGGAAGAAGACAGTGATGTTCATTTTCACCACTTCTATTCAACATAATCCTCAAATCTCTAGCCACAGCGATTAGGCAAAAGAATGAAATAAAAAGACTACAAATAGGGAAAAAAATAGCTCAAACTATCTGTATTTGCCAATGACATGATTCTGTATTTAGAAGACCCAAAAACTCCACCAGAAAATTTCTAGAACTCATAAATGAATTCAGTAAATTAGCAGGATACAAAAACTCACTAATGAATTGCACTTCTATACTCCAATGATGAATCAGCTAAAAGAGAAATTAAGAAAGCCATTCATTCACAATAGCCTCAAAAAAAACAAAAACAAAAACAAAAAAACCTACTTTGGAATTAATCTAACAAAAGAGATGAAAGGCTTCTACAATGAAAATTACAGAATGGTAAATAAAGAAATTGAAGAATTCCTTAGAAGATAGATAGGCAGAATTAATATTGTCAAAATGGTGATACTAAGAAAAGTGCTATACAGAGTCAATGCAAAATCCCATCAAAATTCCAATGACAATCTTCATGGAAATAGAAAAAGCAGTCATAACATTTATTTGAAAAAATAAGAGGCCCAGAGTAACCAAAGCAATCCTTAGTGAGAAAAGTGAAGCAAGAGGTATAACAATACCAGACCTAAAATTATATTGTAGAGTTACAGTAACTAAAACAGTATGGCATTGGCACCAAAAAGACAAGAAGATCAATGAAACAGAATAGAAGACACAGAGACAAACCCACAAAAATACATACTAGACAAAGGTATTAATAACATACATTGGAGAAAAGGTAGTCTTTTTCAACAAACAGGTGCTGGGAAAACTGGAAATTCATATGTAGTAGAATGAAATTTAACCCCTATCTTTTATCCTGCAGAAATCTCAGTTAAAGGAGGATCAAGGACCTAGGTAGTACCAGACACCCTGCATAACTAGAAAAAAAGGAGGTTCAACACTCCAGCATATCAGCTCAGGAACTGATTTCCTTCATAAGAAGTCTAAAGCACAAGAAGTCAAATCAATGATTAATAAATGAACTGGCATCAAACTAAAAAGCTTCTTCATAGCAAAAAAAAAAAATTGTGAATAGAGAGCCTACAGAATGAGAGAAAATCTTGGTTGCCGAGTCCGGCTAACGGGAACCGAGTCCGGCGAGAGACGTCGAGGTTAAAAAAAAAAAATCACAGGACACCAAGGTTCTTCATCCAGGAGGAGGCATGTGCGCGCTTTATTGCCAAATTTGTTCTCCTTAAATATCTTTTGTAACAGGGGAAATGACTCAAAGGCGAGGAGGGAAGAGTAATAACTGTGTCCTTGGGTTACCGTCATGTCCCCTTTCAGGAGGCTTGAACAGGTCAAGCTGTTCCGAGAGACACATATGCTCCAGGCAGATAAACTGGAAACCGCAAGCCTGTATCACGGCCTTGTGAGCTGGCCACCTGAGTCACGGCCTTGTGAGCTGGCCACATTGACATGCAGAACAAAGAACTGGGGGCTGAGCCCCCGGGGGCCAGGGAAGGTCTGCTACCAGCATTGGTAACTTGCACCTCAGATAGAGCATTAATTTCCAGTATATATAAAGAACTCAAAAACTTAACACAACAAACAAACAAATATACAAAACCCAAATGACCCAATCAAGTAGGGCAAAGGAAATGAACAGACACTTTTTTCCAGAGGAGAAATATGAATGACCTGCAAATATATGAAAAAATGTTCAACATCTCTAGCAATTAGAGAAATGCTAATTCAAACTTTACTGAGATTTTATCTCATTTCAGTCAGAAGAGCAATTATCAGGAATGAAAGTAACAGTATGTGGGAAATGAGAATGTGGGAAAAAAGCTACACTCATACTTTGCTGATTGGAGTGTAAATTGGTGCAACCACTCTTGAAAGTAGTATGGAGATTCTTCAAAAAACTTGAAATGGAACCATCATTTGACCCAGTCATCCCACTCCTTGTTACATACCCAAAGGATTTAAAAATCAGCATACTGTAGTGATGCAGCTACATCAATATTAATAGTAGCTCAATTTATAATAGCTAAACTATGGGACCAACCTAGATGCCCTCTGATAGATATAAACATTGAAATGTGGTATATATACATAATGGAGTATTACTCAACTCTAAAGAAGAATGACTTTATGGTATTTGCCAGCAAATGGATGGATCTGGAGAGTATGATACTAAAAAAACTAAATACTAAATAAATAAAATACTAAATAAATAAAATACTAAAAAAACAAAGGTTGAATTTTTTTCTCTGATATGTGGAAGCTAACCCATCATAGTGGGGTTGTGAGGAGGTGCTGAGGGCCATTGCCAAGTAGGAATGACACATTGAAATTTCCTTGCCAGCGTACCCCATGTTAAAAGGACTTGCCTTGGACATTGCATGTGTCTTTGAGAAAGGTGACCCTGCTCAAGGACCAGGGTGGATCCAGGATTAGGGTGTATCCTGCAGGTTTTAGGAAGTATCCGGGTTTAAGACAATTTGGGTTTAGGGCGTTCCCGGTTTAAGACAAGTTTAGGGCATTCCCGGTTTAAGATAATCCCGGTTTAGGGAAGTTGCAGGTTGAAGGTTATTCCTGCTGGGAGTAGGGCATTCCTGCTGCCTGAGTTCCCCTTGAGTTCTCGTGGAATTCAGAAAGTTTTTGGGATGAGAATTGTGCGGGCGGATTTCCCCAGAACGTGTGTGATGGCCGGTGTGAGTTCGGGAATAAAGAATTGCTGTTTGAATCTACAAGGTATGAGTGATTCTGTGCCCAGCCAAGACTGCGGCAAGGGGGAAGAATAGAGTGCAGTAGATTAGATAATAGGAAATGGAGGGAATGGATGAGGGATAGGCAAAGGAAAGACAGTGGAATGTATTCAAAATAATTCTCTCTGTTTTTAATATATGAGTAGATGTCAATGGGTGGGACCTGCGGTCCCTCTCTGATTGTCTTCCTTCAATCATTCTTGGTAGTTTGAGGCTTTTGTCTCTTCAATTCTTTTTACTGGAGTAATGTTGGGGCTAATACTGGGTTAGATTATGTGTAGAGTGAGATTCTCTGTTGCTTGGTTGAGATGTGCATATTTCTAAGCTTCAGGATCTCTATTCTTTGATCTTGAAGTTTCTCAATATTTTTCTGGCCCCTCTTTGAGGGAATGGGATCCAGAAGTAGTTCTAATATCAGCAACAAATGTGCAACTCTGTTAGATGTCTGGTGTTAGATATCAACTCTGTTAGATATCAACTCTGATAGATGTCTGGTGTCTATTTTGATATCTGTAACACTAATTGCCACCTATATAGAAATGGTGGGGTCAGTATTTAATAAAGTACCAACAATAAAAACTCTGCTTTTGACAGCAGGTATCTACTATGTCATCCATTATATCAATAGTCACTAGAACTTGAAAGAGGTAGAAAATAGTCTAATGGTTAATTTGATTTTTCTCTCTTCTATATTTTGTGTTAATGTGTAGCTGAAGATTGAGTGTTATTAATTTGTTTGTAGAGCAAGGTACACTGTCTTTTGGTTGAGTTTAGTTCAGCAGCAGAGTCTCTACCTTGAAAACTTGTAGTATCTCCATACATTCCCAGCACCTTACAGAAAAGGGAAAAATTAACAGTAGTAACAATCAATGCAAACAATATGTAGTATTAAAATAAATATCCAGTTCCTACTATGACATTTACAACATTAATTACCACAAAAACAGGAATGGTGTGGTCAGCAATTGTGAGGGGTCAGCAATTGTAGGCAGTTAAAAAAAAAGAACTAGATCTAACAGCAGGTGTCAAATATGCCATCCATTGCAGTAATAACTACATCAGCAGTTTTATTATTTTATTATTGTGAGGGCAGGAGTTATATAAACCAATTAGTTCTAAAAGATGGTAAAATACAATTAATTAGGAGATAAGGAAACATGCTAGGAAGGTAGAAAAGATTTTATAATTGCAAAATGTGAACAGAGAGAATGGAGAAGGGATGTTCTAGGTGATGATTATAATGAAGAAGAAGATAAAACAGGAGAAGGAAATAAAGGGTGAGAAGAAAAGAGAACAATAGAATTTGGCCCTTAGCAGAAGAAAAGTCAGAAAGAGGAACAAATAACAAACTACAAAATAAAACCAAAATATCACCCCCAGAAGACAAGGCAAGGAAAAAGAACTATGATAAAAACATTCTAAAAGGGGCTGGGGATGTGGCTCAAGCGGTAGCACGCCATGCCTGGCATGCGTGCGGCCCGGGTTCGATCCTCAGCACCACATACCAACAAAGATGTTGTGTCCGCCAAGAACACAACATTAAATATTAAAAATAAATATTAAAAATTCTCTCTCTCTCTCTCTCTCTCCCCTCTCTCACTCTCTCTTTAAAAAAAATAAAAATAAAAATAAAAAAAACATTCTAAAAATGAGAAAAATAGAAACAAATATGTATATGCATCATGTCCCTGAATCAATAGCATAGCAATTATTCAGAAGGGGGAGGGGGAAGGGAGGGGAGGGGAGGGGTAGAGGGGAAGAGGAGGAGGGGAGGGAGAATTCTTAAAGAAAAATGAAGAATCACCCCCACTGAAGTGGTCTAAGTGGTTTACCGGAATGGATGGTCACTGACCACACCCAACGGTCTTTCTTTCTGTTTCTTCTCCCACTATTTACTAGAGAGCAAATGCTGGGGGTTGTTAACCCCTTCCTGTTTTGGTGTTGCTCTCTGAGTTGCCGGTTGGAGCGGCCTATAAATGAAGTTGTTTGAAATAAGTCTCAGCTTCTCTTCTTGCCAGTATAATGTGGGATATATTAGGAAGTACTGTTAGTTGGAGTTTTATTCATACAGAGCAAATCAATAAATTCTGAGGATAAAGCTTCTGCAGAGTTCTATGTGAGGAGTTCCAGAAGTTGGAGCTTAGATTTTTAATCAGGCCCCAGGGGCTCTGTTGGGTGTTGTCTGCTCTGGAGAAATTAGATCAACACATCCCTTAGGGTCTAGCAGTGGCTGATCTCTGATGGGAGTCTGTATCTCAGGAGCCTCCCAAGTATTCTCCTCAAAGTGAAGAAATTTCTCATTGAATCTTGGTTTGAATTTCATCAGAGCTTTAGAATATGTCCAATATTCTTTGGCTTTGGATGTCTCCGGATGTCCTGTGGCAGAGGAGCCACTCCCTAGTTGCTATGGAGTTCCCACCAGCCAGTTCTCATTTGTCAACCCAGAGGTTTGAGGCTGCTTGTTCAGAGGGTGTGATGGAAAACTTTTATTTCTTCATCAATTTTGAAGGATAGCTTTTTTTGGACATATCAATCTGGCTGACATTTTTTTCTTTTAGAGCTTGGAATACGCTTTTAGAATTTTGTTTATTCTAATTTGTTATATATGACAGCAGAGTACATTTCAATTCATAGTATGCATATAGAGCACAATTTTTCATGTTTCTGGTTGTACACAAAGTAGAGTCACACCATTCATATCTTCATACATGTACTTGGGGTAAGTATGTCTATCTCATTCCACCATCTTTCCTACACCCTTGCCCCCTCCCTTCCCCTCCCTCCCCTTTGCCCCATCTAAAGCTCTCCATTTCTCCCATGCTCACCCCCCACCATTCCCATTATGGATCAGCATCCACATATCAGAGAAAACACTTGTCATTTTTTTTTTTTGTGATTGACTTACTTCACTTAGTATAATATTCTCCAACTCTATCTATTTACCTGAAAATAAATGATTTTATTCTCTTTTAATGTTGAGTAATATTCCATTATGTATATATATACCACAGTTTCTTTATCCATTCATCTACTGAAAGGCATATAGATTGGTTTCATAATCTAGCTATTGTGAATTGTGCTGCTATAAACATTGATGTGGCTGCATTAATATAATATGCTGTTTTTAAGTTCTTTGGGTATAAATGGAGGAGTGGGATAGCTAGGCCAAATGGTAGTTTCATTCCAAGTTTTCCAAGGAATCTCCATACTGCTTTCCATATTGGTTGCACCAATTTGCAGTCCCGCCAGCAATGTATAGTGTGACTTTTCCTTCACATCCTCTTCAACACTTACTGTCATTTGTCTTCTTAATAGTTGCCATTCTGACTGGAGTGAGATGAAATCTGTAATTGCTAGAGATGTTGAACACTTTTTTCATATATTTATTGATTGATTGTATATCACCCTCTGAGAAGTGTCTGTTCAGTTCCTTGGTCCATTTATTTATTGTTTTTGTTCTTATGGTGTTAAGATTTTTGAGTTTTTAAAATATATCCTAGAGATTAGTGCTCTGTCTGATGTGTGTGTGGTAAAAATATGCTCCCATGCTGTAAACTTTCTATTCACTTCACTGATTGTTTCTTTTGCAGAGAAGAAGCTTTTTAATTTGATTCCATCCCATTTATTGATTCTTGATTTTATTTCCGTGCTATAGGGGTCTTATTAAGGAAGTTGGGGCCTAATATGACATGATGAAGGTTTGGGCTTATTTTTTATTCTATTAGGTGAAGGGTCTCTGGTTTAATCTCTAGATCCTTGATCCACTTTGAGTTGAGTATGGTGAGAGATGGAGGCTTAATTTAATTATGTTTCATATGGATTTCCATTTTCCCAGCACTTATGTTGAAGAGGCTATCCTTTCTCCAGTATGTTTTTGGCACTTTTGTCTAATATGAGATAACTGTATATGTATGGGTTTTTTTTCTGTGTTTTCTATGCTGGACCATTGGTCAATGAATCTATTTTGGTGCCAATACCATGCTGTTTTTGGTACTATTGCTCTGTAGTGTAGTTTAAGGTCTTATATAGTGATGCCAGCTGCTTCACTCTTCTGCTAAGCCTATCTTTGGCTATTCTGGGTCTCTTATTTCTCCAGATGATTTTCATGATTGTTTTTTCTATTTCTATGAGAAATGTTATTGGGATTTTTATTGGAATTGCATTAAATCTGTATAGTGCTTTTGGTAGTATGATCATTTTGGCAATATTAATTCTGCCCATCCAAAAACAAGGGAGATCTTTCCATTTTCTAGGGTCTTCTTTAATTTCTTTCTTTAGCATACTGTAATTTTCTTTGTAGAGTTCTTTCACCTCTTTCATTAAGTTGATTCCCAAGTATTTTATGTTTTTGAGGCTATTGTAAATGGGGTAGTTGTCTTAGTTTCTCTTTCAGAGGATTTGTCACTGATGTACATAAATGCCTTTGATTTTATGACCTGCTACTTTGCTGAATTCATTTATTAGTTCTAGAAGTTTTCTGGTGGAATTTTTTGGGTCTTCTAGGTATAGAATCATATATTGGCAAATAGTGATAACTTGAGTTTTTCTTTTCTTATCAGTATCCTTTTTAATTTGTTTTATCTGGCTAATTGCTCTGGCTAGTGTTTAAAAAACTATGTTAAATAGAAGTGGTGAAAGAAGGCATCCTTTCTTGTTCCAGGTTTTAGAGGAAATGCCTTTAATTTTTCTCTATTTAGAATGATGTTGCCCTTGGGCTTAGCATAGATAGCTTTTACAATGTTGAGTTATGTTCCTATTATCCCTAGTTTTTCTAGTGTTTTGAACATAGATTGGTGCTGTATTTTGTGGAATGCATTTTCCTGCATCTATTGAGATGATCATATGATTCTTTAAGTCTATTGATGTGATGAATTATATTTATTGATTTCCGTATGTTGAACCAAACTTCCATCCCTGGGATGAACCCCTACTTGATTGTGGTGCACTATCTTTTTGATATGTTTTTATATTCAATTTGTCAGAATATTATTGAGAATTTTTTTGCATCTATGTTCATCAGAGATATTAGTCTGAGGTTTTTTTTCTTTGATGTGTCTGTCTGATTTTGGAATCAGGGTGATATTGGCCTCACAGAATAAATTTGGAAGTGTTCTCTCTTTTTTTTATTTCATGGAATAATTTGATAAGTATTGGTATTCTTCTTTGAGGGTCTTGTAGAACTCAGCAATGTATCCATGTGGTCCTGGGCTTTTCTTGGTTGGTAGGCTTCTAATGGTGTCTTCTATTTCCTCGATTGAAATTAATCTGTTTAATTTGTGTATATCATCCTGATTCAGTTTTGGCAAATCATATGACTCAAGAAATTTGCTAATGCCTTTGATACTTTCTATTTTATTGGAATACAAGTTTTCAAAATAATTTCCAATTATCTTCTGTGTTTTTATAGTGTCCATTGTGATATTTCATTTTTCATCATAAATGTTAGCAATTTGAGTTTTCTCTCTCTTTTATTTGTTAGCATGGCTAAGGGTTTATAAATTTCGTTTAACTTTTTAAAGAACCAACTTTTTTTTTGGTTTCAATTTTATTGATTTCAGTTCTGATTTTAATTATTTCTTGTGTTCTACTGCTTTTGGTGTTGATTTGTTCTTCTTTCTCTAGGGCTTTTAGATTAAATGTTAGGTCATTTATTTGTTGACTTTTTCTTCTTTTAAGAGATGAACTCCATGCAATGAATTTTCATCTTAGTACTGCCTTCATAGTGTCCCAGAGATTTAGACATGTTGTATCAGTGTTCTTATTTACCTGTAAGAATTTTTAAATCTCCTCTTTGCTGTCTTTTGCAACCCATTGTTCATTCAGTAGCATATTATTTAGTCTCCAGGTGTTGGAGTAGCTTCTAGTTTTTATTTTATCATTGATTTGAAATTTCATTCCCTTATGATCTGATAGAATGCAGGGTAGAATCTCTATTTTTCATATTTGCTAAGAGTTGCTTTGTGGCATAATATATGGTCTATTTTAGAGGAGAGTCCATGTGCTGCTGAGAAAAAAGTGTATTCACTTTCTTTTGATTGTTGTGCTTATGCCATTATTGAGACATGACTTGTATTCCTGGTAATATTTGTTTATTTTTTGTATTTAACTTGACTTGGTTTGTCCTTTGATTAGTATTTTATTTAGTGTAACACCTTCCTTTGCTTATTTTTATTGTTGTTTCCTTCTCATGGAATATTTTGCTCAGGATGTTCTTTAATACAGGCTTTCTACTTGTAAATTCTTTAAACTTTTGTTTATCATGGGAGGTTTTTATTTTGTTCTGTGTACTAGACATTTTAATTCGATATTACAATATGTCTTGGAGTGGATCTTTTTGATCTTCTCATTTGAGGGTTTGAAAACTCCTGTACTTGTATGCAAAACTCATTCCAAAGGTTTAGAATATTTTTCTGATATTATTTCACTAAAAATGTTATGCATGTTCTTAACAAACATATGTTCTTCTACACTAAAATGAGCTAAACTGTTGGTATTAAAGAAGGGGAGTTGCTATTATACTATATAGGGCACAAAGTCAAAGAGAAAGATGAAGCAGAATAAAAAGAGAAAGACAAGAAAATTAGATAAAATATTCAGGAAAAGAAAGCAAGACAGAATATAAAATAATGAGTAGACAAAAAAGAGGGTAGAAGTATAGGAAATAGTAAAAGAAAAGATGCAATGAGTAGATCCAGTTAATATGATACTTCTGATAACAATGATAAATAAGCAGCCCCCACTAAAATTAAAAAACAAAATAGCCCATACAGACAAAAAAACCCCAAGAAAATAAAGAACAAAGCAGAACAAAAAATAAGTTAAAAATATAAACAGAAAGAATAAACCTAAAACAAAAACCTAAATAACAAATCAGAAAAAACCCTCCATAGAACCAAAAAGGCATAGCACAAACACACTAAAACAAAACAAAAACCAGAGAGAAGGGGAAAGAGAGTAGACTGGAGAGAAAATAGGAAGGAGAGAGAAACAAGGGACAGATTATACTAAAAATGAGGAACAGTAGCATAACCATCTCTAATTAACACATTATAACATTGCAGACGAAAAGTGATTAATAATGGATTAAAGAATAATTTCCAACACTGTGAGGGAATCTATTTATACACAAAGTTATAAAAGTGAAATAAGAAAGGCTAATGTTAATAAGTCACAAGTTATTCATTGTTGATGTTTCTGAGATGGAGTGAGTTCTTAGTGTGACTCCACAGTCAGAATTACACATGATATTTGGAGGTATAGTAAATATTCAAGCCTCCACAGCATAATCTCTGAGTGTCTCTGCATGTTGCCACAGAAACGGTAATGTCCCTATCAGAAATGTTT